AAAATATTCCATTAACCATATTATGTGGAAGACATTAGCATTATGCACAGCGGGAAGGAACATTTTAATACAGAACATCTTCTTTCCAGCTTCAAAGGATGAGACTAAAACAGCAAGGCCGTGAAGCTGCCCCTGGGCTGATGTCGTCTTCTCCTTGGGGCTTTGCAGGTTGGCAGAGTAACAGGCTAGTAGGAGCATCATTTGCTGGGTCAGAAATGACCCCGGCAAGAGGAGGGACAGGCCGAGCCCTCAGTGCCAGGGCGGCCTGGCGCTCTGACGGCAGAGGTGCTGCAGGACCGCCCCTCTGCGGCTCCTCTGGGCCCTTCCTCGGTGCCACTCAGCCAGCAGAGGACACAGAGAGCTGCGGGTTAGCCGCGTGGCCAGGAGGGCAAGGTGAACCAAATGGCTCTCCTGGAAGGCCAGGGGCCTCGACTTCCTGGGGTTCCCTTGAGGTCAGTGGTCGTCCCTGGGCCTGTGAGCCTTTCAGGGGAAGGAATCAGTTATTACAGAACCAGTCCTACCAACTCCAGGCACTGTTTCTAAGCTCGTTCAATACTGAGTCTTGCAGACGCCTGTGCTGCCCTCCTTCCAAAGAAGGCAGACACGGCAGCGATGGAGCCACACGGGCTCCGTTAGTGCATTCACTACAGTTGTCTTTGTTTGTTCTCTCAGCCACCTGTGACTGGAGGTAAAAGGAGGTGCCACTCAAAAAGGCGGGGTGCCGGTGGGAGGGGCAGCCTGGCCTTCATCTGGTCGTGGGACTGTGTCTTCGGCCTTTAGGCATAGATTCTTCAGGGTTCCAGGAAGGTGAACACTGTTGAGGAAGGTCCCACCTTCCCCGAGTCTAACTAAGCTGAGTGAGGAGGCGGGACGGTGGAGGCAGTGGGGACAGGAGGCAGTGGAAAGGAGGGAGGTGGGCATCTGATGCCAACAGCAGTTTGGTGAGTGAGGCTGGGAGACGAGGGGGAGGAAGGACTGAGATGGGCCAGGAGGAGCCCGAGGTTCTGGTGGGCACAGCTCAGGACGAGAGGCCCGTTCCCAAGACAGCGCAGGGAGGATGCGGGCCAGGCTCCCTCGGCTCCTGCCACTCAGTTGCTGGCTGGCTGTACTTTAGGAGGATATTCTCTAAACCCCAAGCAAGTGGTCTGAGCAGGAGCTAGACATTGGGAAACTGATGTCTGGAGCTGTGAAAGTGAATGAGGCTGCCCAATGGTGAGGGGAACAAAGGCCTGGTGGGAGCTGAGCAGATGTAGGAGGATGGGGAGAGGCCTGACAGGGCCAGGGAAACCTGAGAGGGAAGATGGAAGGAGGGCAACTACCTCCACAAATGCCTTCTCAGCCAAGACCCTTAGGGAACAGGGCTCCACTTCGGGGCACATAATTTAAATTCCCACAAGTGCAGGGCCCACATCTGTTCTCTGCCGTGTCCCCAACACCTGGCATCGTGTCTGGTATGCAGTCGGTGCTCAGTAAAGAGTTCTGAAGTGCACGACTTACAGAGAAAAAACAGAGAAGCTGTAGGATGGTCTTCTCTCCTCAAAGCCCATGGGTATTGCTATGGGAGTTTGAAGGCTGTGAGGCCCGAGCCTCCCAGCTGCCCTGTGACCATACTGTAAGTTGCTATTTTCAGCTTCACTTTGCAGTGAGGCCTCGTCACTCCTTCTCCCCAGAGATGCCACTGGGCCCCACAAGTCGCCTTCAATATTTTCTCCTTCTGCTGTACCCTGACACCTGTGGTCGTCGGGACTGCAAGGACCGAGAGTCAGAGGGCAGGCCCCTCACTGCAGGGAAGGGAGGCAAGAGTGGTGAGTAGGGTGGCCCGTGACCTTACACTGTGAACTGAGCCCCATCTGAAATGGGAAACTTCTGGTTCCTCTTTTTGCAAGTCTCCAGGGCAGAGCTGGGAGGATGCAGGTAGAAGAGGAGAGGTCCAGGAAAGGCCTTACTGAAAACAAAGAGATGGTAGGACTGTGTGGGAAAGAGGCTCCAGCCAGGTGGACGAGCATGTTGGAACACCCACCAGGGTCCTTACATTTTTGGTGCCACGGACCCCTTTAGGACCTGGTGAAACCAATGGACACTTTCTCAGAATAGTGGTTTTAAATTCATAAAATAAAATACAAAGGGTTATAACAGGAACCAAATATATTGAAATAGAGCTGATAAAATACTAAAAAGTCATAATTGTAACTATATTAGCACTTGTATCACTTTATTAAGGCACTACATAATAACTAGTATGGGTAGACCTCAGAGATATTGTGGGTTCACTTTCAGACCACCGCAATAAAATGAACACCACAATAAAGCACATCACAAGAATTTTTTGGTTTCCCAGTGCATATAAAACTTATGTTTACCCTATACTGTAGTCTATTAAGCGTGCAATAGCATTATGTCTAAAAACCCAGCATTAACACATCTTAATTAAAAAATACTTCGTTGCTAAATAAAGCTAACCATCACGTGAGCCTTCAGCGAGTCGTAATCTGGCAGAGGGTCTCGCCTCGATGTTGATGGCTGCTGACTGATCAGAGTGGCGGAGGCTGAAGTTAGAGTGACTGTGGTAATTTCTTAAAATAAGACGACAATGAAGTTTGCCACATGGATTGACTCTTCCTTTCATGAATGATTTCTCTGTAGCATGTGATGCTGTTTGGTAGCATTTCACCCCCAGAAGAACTTCTTCAAAATTGCAGTCAATATTCTTAAACTCTGCTGCTGCTTTATCAACTGTTTATGTCGTATTCTAAATCCTTTGTTGTCATTTCAACAATCTTCACAGCGTTTCCGCCAGGAGTAGACTCCATCTCAACAAACCACTTTCTTTGCTCATCCATAAGTAGCAGCTCCCCATCTGTTCAAGTTTGATCATGAGGTCGCCGCAACTCAGTGACATCTTCAGGCTCCACTTCCAGTTCTGGTTCTCTTGCTGTTTCCACCACATCTGCACTTACTTCCCCTACTAATGTCTTCAGTCCCTCAAAGTCTTCCATGAGGGTCGGAATCAACTTCTCCCAAACTCCTGTTAATGCTAATATTTTGACCTCTTCCCATGAATCACAAATGTTCTTTATGGTGAATCCTTTCCAGAAGGCTTTCAATTTACTTTAACCAGATCCATCAGAGGCATCATTATCTATGGCAGCAATAGCCTTACAAAATGTATTTTTTAAATAACACAGCTTGAAAGTCAAAATTACTGCTTGATCCTTGGGCTGCAGAATGGATGTTGTGTTAGCAGGCATGAAAACAACATTAATCTCATTGCGCATCTCCATCAGAGCTCTTGGGGGACCAGGTGCATTGTCAATGAGCAGTAATATTTGGAAAGAAATATTTTTTTCTGAGTAGTAGGTCTCAACAGTGGGCTTAAAATACTCAGGAAGGGGCTGGCCCAGTGGTGCAACGGTTAAGTGCACACGTTCTGCTTCAGTGGCCCAGCGTTCGCTGGTTCAGATCCCGGGTGTGGACACGGCACTGCTTGACAAGCCATGCTGTGGTAGGTGTCCCACATATAAAGTAGAGGAAGATGGGCACGAATGTTAGCTCAGGGCCAGCCTTCCTCAGCAAAAAAAAAAAAGAGAAGGATTGGCGGCAGTTAGCTCAGAGCTAATCTTCCTCAAAAAAAACCCCAAAACCCTCAGGAAACCATGTTGTTAACAGATGTGGTCTCATCTAGGCTTTGTTGTTCCATTTGCAGAGCATAGGAACAGTAGATTTCACATAATTCTTAAGGGCTCTAGGATTTCCAGAATGGTAAGTGAGCACTGGCTTCAACAGAAAGTCACCAGCTGCATTAGCCCCTAACAAGTCTGTTTGTCCTTTAAAGCCAGGCACTGACTTCTCCTCTCTAGCTATGAAAGTCCTAGATGGCCTCTCTTCCAATATAAGGCTGTCTCATCTGCACTGAGAATCTGTTGTTCAGTGCAGCCCCTGCATTAATGATCTTAGCCGGATCTTCTGGAGAACTTGCCGCAGCTTCTACATTAGCACTTGCTGCCTCACCTGCACTTTTGTTATGGAGACGGCTCCTTTCCTCAAACCTCATGAACCAACCTCTGCTGGCTTCACACTTTTCTTCTGCAGCTGCCTCACCCCTCTCAGCCTTCACAGAATTGAAGAGAGTCAGGGCCTGGCTCTGGATCAGGCTTTGGCTTAAGGGCATGTTGTGGCTGGTTTGATCTCCTCTCCAGACCACTGAAACTTCCTCCATATCAGCAATAGGGCTGTTTCACTTTCTTATCATTCGTGTGTTCCCTGGAGTAGCACTTTTAATTTCCTTCAAGAACTTCTGCTTTGCATTTACAACTTGACTGTTTGGTGCAAGAGGCCTAGCTTTTGGCCTGTCTCGGCTTTCGACACGCCCTCCTCACTCAGCTTAATCATTTCTAGCTTTTGATTTAAAATGAGAGATGTGCAACTCTTCTTTTCACTTCAAGACTTAGAGGTCATCGTAGGTTATGAATTGGCCTAATTTCGATATTGTTGTATCTCAGAGAACAGGGAGACTCAAGGAGAAGGAGAGAGATGGGGAATGGCTAGTCGGTGGAGCAGTCGGAACACACACCGCATTTGTCGATTGAGTTTGCTGTTTTATGTGGGCGTGGTTTGTGACATCCCACAACAATGACAAGAATAACATCAAAGATACTGATCACAGATCACCATAACAAATATAATAATAATGAAAAAGTTTGAGCTATTGTGAGAATTACCAAAATGTGACACAGAGACACAAAGTGAGCAAACGCTGTTGGAAAAATGGCTCAATGCAGGATTGCCACAAACCTTTAATTCATAAAAAACAAAATATCTGGGAGCCAGTCCTGATGGCCTAGTGGTTAAAGTTCAGCACTTTCACCACTTTGGCGGCCTGGGTTCACTTCCCAGTGGAGGAACCACACCACCCATCTGTCAGTTGCCATGTTGTGGCGGCAGCTCACATAGAAGAACTTACAACTAGGATATGCAACCATGCACTGGGGTTTTGGGGAGGAAAAAAAAAGAAGATTGGCAACAGATGTTAGCTCAGGGTGAATCTTTCCCTGCAAAAGAACAAACAAACAAAACACAAAATATCTGCAAAGAGCAATAAGGCGAAGTGCAACAAAATGAGGTATGTCTGCACTTGGGTTTGTGTTTTCAAAGTAGTGATGAACATAAGCAATATTCTGAAATATCTTCAACAACTGTCACCTGCAGTGAAGACATCTGTGGTTTCTGCTGGTGATGAAGTCACAACAATGTGGTTTGTTGCCTACCTTCATAACTGGAGGAAATGCCAAATTTTGGTTAGAGGTTGGTGAAAATCATGATGCAACTCATTTCCCATCCTAGTTCATGGATGTTCCAAATGACCTCCCTCGACCTCTTAGGGCTCCAGGGAAGAGAGAGGAAGGGAAGAGAAGAGCCGGAGGGAAGAGACAGGAAGCGAAGAGAAGAGCCGGAGGGAAGAGACAATCCCATGTGCTCTGAGCTGAAAGAAGGACCTTGGGGTCTCTGGGGAACAGCATGTTGAGTGGAAGAGGTGAAAGACGAAAGGCCCCACTGACCTTTTGTTGGGTGCCTATTTCAAGGACAGCAGTGTGGGGGCAAACTGAGGACCTGTGTCCTCTCTGCAAAGGTGCCTGTGAGGAGACGCTGCCTGGAGAGGAAGTGGGGGGGTGGTTCTGGACAGGTGAAGCCTGCTTAGCCCCCAGTCCATGAGGAGGATGGAGCCGGCACAGCAGGGGCTCCTGGTGCTCCCAGACCCCCCACAAGCACCACTGTCTCCACAGAGATGTCAAATAATTCAGAAGTGGCCTCACACATCAGGGTAGGAACCTGATTTGGGAAGGAAAATATTGGCTGCAGAGAGGAACCTAGAGAAGGCGGAACCTGGGTTCAGAAAACCTGGGGTGAATCGCCAACTAGGGAATTTCAGGTGGTGTGTGTTGCCTTTGGCTCTCAGAACCCAAATCTTGCCACCTGGGAGTAATGCCCCCTCAGGCTTATTTCAGATGGGTTTTAGGGTATCAGGAGCTTTAAAGGACCATCACACAGGAGGAGCGGGCTATTAGGATGGACAGAAAGCTGTGTGGACCAATTAAATGGATGTTAAAATACTAGCAAGGAAGCTGCCTTATCTAGTTAAGATACTGATGTCTTTAAGAATTTGATAAACATCTACAAATTGTTAATTTTGACTATTAGCTTTCATTTATTAAAGTAGGCCACTGAAAGAACTCCTTTGAAATATAAAGTAGTTAACTACTAGGTCACAGAAGTCCTTGAATGCAATAACATTGCATTAAAAATACTTGACCATTCATATTTTTCAAGACTTTTCCCCACACACGGTCCAAACTCTAAGGTATTGTTATGTTTTGTTCATTTCTTTCTCCAACATGCCCGTGTTGAAAGGGAGGGCTCAGGCCTTTGGGTTATATTAGTTTATGCATAATAAGCATTCTAAATATATTCTGAGCATTTAAATAGGTGAAGCAGGACTTCTCCTTGACAACAATTTGTCAATTAGTACTTTAATCCTATTTATGTCTTATTTATACCCTGACAACCTCCAAGAAGGCTCTGAGCAGAGGGCTAGCTTCTTTCCCACATAGAAGTGGCTCTTTCTCATCGCATTTTCCTTGACCTAATCTCTAAGGTCTAATTGCATATATTGCCCTGATCACTGCAGAATCTTAAATTAGGGATTTACCTTCATTCCCCTCAGGTTGTCTTTTTCCACCAGTGAGAGCAGGAGGTTTTGGGAGAAGTGCTCTTGTACGCCAGGCTCCTTTCCTCTTGGATGTTGCCCTCCTGTGTCAATCTTTTCACCAACCAACCAATCAAACAAACAAGGGTGAATTTATTACACTCCTTTCCCAGGCCACAGATTCACGCGAATACTACACGCTCGCACAATGCGTGCTAAGGTTGTAAGTGACGCACAATCCCCTGGATCACCAGTGCCTTCTTTATGAACTTTCACCAGCACCCAGCAGCCCTCGCCCCACCCAGTAGGCAGCATGCCCTCGCCATCCAAGCCCATTCTCTCCTGTCTTCAGATGCTAAGAATTCAGACTCCAAATCTTATTTACATTCTGGTCATTGGGGGAGGTCATGATTCAGACTGGAAACATCCCCTGAAGTCCCTTCATTGTAACTGGAGAAGAGCTGACTATCCAGGGCTTACAGGGGCATGACAGGCAGTGGGACTCAGCCGTCCAGAGGGGCTTTGGAAAGAGGTTACCAAGACTGTGTGGTAACAGGAGGGTGGGTGTGAAGGGAGAGCCACTGGGCAGAGGCTCTGAGGTGAGGTGGGGGTGGGGCAGGGAGTTTGGGAGCTGCAACCGGTGGACGCACAAGGTGCAGGTGTGGCAAGACACCATGGGAGGCTGCAGGCAGGTCTTCGCCTTGGCAGGTTAAAGCATTTATGGGCTATCCTGGTGGCCCTGGTATCCCTATGGGCAGGTCTGTGTCACAGGAAACCAACCATGGGCCAGCAAGAAGATAGCACTGGGCGTGGGGGATGCAACTCTGTTCAAGGAGGCAGATGAGGACGAGGACAGGCAGTCCAGGTCAGGATGGTGCCATTCCTCTGACTTTGCAGAGTGTGTCCACCTGCGCTCATACAGGGTACACAGCAGCTCTGTGGTGCCAGATGCCATCATTAGCCTTACCTCATCTTGTCTTATCTTGGAGGATCAGGAAGGGTAACTTGCTCAGAGTCACACATCTGGGAGTGAATGTCACCAAGATGGTCTCCAAAATCCCACCCCCAACACTCAGACCCCTTATCTGAATGACATGGAGATACAGGACGTTCTGGTTTGTTTTGGAGGGAGGCAGTTTAGCCAAGGGTTAAAGTGTCTGCTCCGAGGCAGGTCTCCAGCCCGGGTCTGCATCCTGCACTCTTGCCCTAGGGCTGGGGCCTTGGACCAGTTACCTGATCTCTCTGAGACGCAGTTTCCTTATTTCATCTTAGAACCGTGGAGGGACATGTACGATAAAGCTCACAAAATGTCCTGCATGGGTCCTGGCACATGTAAGTGCTCAGGTGATGATGGCGACCATCACTGCCACTGTTAATAGGGTGGACTGGGGGAGGTGTCCTGTCCCTAGGGTGGATTGGGGGAGGTGACCCGTCCCCAGGGTGGACTGGGGGAGGTGTCCTGTCCCTAGGGTGGATTGGGGGAGGTGACCCGTCCCCAGGGTGGACTGGGGGAGGCATCCTGTCCCTAGGGTAGACAGCAGGTGACACGTCCTGTCCCTGAGTGGCTGACAGCGATGTGCCTAGATCAGGGACTCCCCGCAACCCTGAGTTCTTGACTCTTATACCCATCTGTTCATAGACCACCACGAACTGAAACCCTTAATTCATTCTTTTTGATGGTGGCAAACGATTATTATAATTCTACGCTGGGAGGTGAGGGGAAATAATTCTGAGTTCAGATATATAGAAACATCTAAGAGTGACTCTGCTTTAAGCCTTTTCCCCTAGCTTTTGAATTCTGTAAGTTACTGGGAAATAAAAGTCATCATTTTGCAGGTTAATGAAAGGTTGTGTCAAGATCGCTTTTAAGTCTGCTGCCAAAGCCATTCTTTAGTTTTATGGCTCATGACGTTCCACGCCATGCATGATGCACACACACTTCTTTCCTCTCCCGCTTTAAGACAAGGACATTGGAGGTTTATGTCAGAGGGCCAGTCACAATATTCCTAATTAGACGGGGCTGGGGACAGTGTTTGGGGCATGCCTGATTTCTGTCCTGGCACCAAAGGGTTAAGCCCTCTGTCCTAAATCAAAGACACCACCTCCCCAAACCCTTCAAGCAGAGTCAGACTGTTCCTATCTAATGAAAAAGCAGAACCACTGGGGAAGAGATCACTCTGGTGAAATATGTCAAGTCACTTTGAGGCCTGCCTGCTCCTGAAGTGGTGACGAGGAGTAAGAGAGAATTTCAGAAAGAATTGGCCTTCCTCATGAAAGGCTCTTATGACAAGAATGGAGGCAAGCATAATTTGTCTGCATTTAACCAATCATATGCTTACAGAATTTGATAGATAAATTAATGCAATATTCCACGGGGTAATATTTTCTTGCTATTGCCATTAAACGGTCATGTACCTGTCAGTACAGTTATGCAATGGACTCGGATAAAGCAAGAGCACCCTCACGAAGATGTGCCATTACAGGACAGCAGTGGGGCCTCATGGGCCCCTGTATTTTGTTTTAGAACTCCTGAATCACAGGTTCACCCCCTCCTGGGGATCACGTCTGACACTGACAGGAAGATGGGCCTGGCCCGATTCCCTGTGAGTCTTGAGCCAAGAGATAGTTCCCACCCGTGTCTCAGATGGGTGCCACGGAACAGAAAGAGAACCAGAAAGGACCAGAGCATCTCCTTTGAGCAGCTGCACTGCGTGAGCATCTGGGTCACAGAGGAAGGGCATGGATTTCTGTGGACCACGTGGAAGCCTGCAGGGTGGGAGGGCCAAGAAAGGATTCCTGGGGAGGCGGCATGGGGGCCAGGGCAGTGGGTGTGGGAGTGTGGGCCATGTCCTGGCCCCAGCGAACAGGTCGTAGGGCCGTGGGAAGATGGGCTGTTGGAAGCAGAGACCTGAACCCAGTCGTGAGGGCCCTGGGCCTCCAGGAAGAGGGGCTCTTGTCTCTTCTGCAGAGCAGTGGGAGCTACTGAGGCCTGCATGCTGGAGCCCAGCATGGCCTATCTGCCTCAGGAATATTAACTGGGAGAACAAGGAGAAGCTGGAAACAGGGTCAAGAGCTGGAACATGTTCAATGGCTCAGAAAGGAGGTCATGAGGACCTAGGGCAGGGCAGAGGGACTGAGAGAGGAACAACGATGACAAGAGCTTGGTAGAGAGAGGACCTGAGGACTCACAGTCCAGAGAATGTGGTGGGCAGAGGGGAGGGAGGCCCGGGCATCTGCACAGTGGTTTGGAGGCTTGGATGTGGACAAATGCTGGTTCCATTAACAGAAAGAAAGAAAACCCTCTCAGGCAGCACGCAGGATCTCCTGAGCATCTCCAGGTTCATGCGTGGGAGAGATTCCAGACAATCCTCCAGGAACTGTGCCTGAGAGAGCCCACCTAGGACAGGAAACGTCCCTCTGACTAGAGAGCTGAGATGCCAGCTCGTCCCACTTGCTGTAATTGCAGCAAGGCAGCAGGGCCCGCAGGCAAGAGACAAGCCTTTCCTAGAAGGCAAAGCTGCCCAGAGCGGCTCCCCTTTATCCCTGCGCACATCGCCTCCTCCCTGGGAAGCAACAAGCACAACTTTGGCAAAGAACACCCACGTGCACCTGAGCAGACACATGGTGCCCAGCTGCAGGGGGCTGCCAGGCGGCTGCACTGGGGCTCCAGCTTCCTTCAGGCTCGAGCAAGGTAGCTGAACTTTGGGCAACTCCCTTTCTCATGATTCAACATTCACGCATAATAAATCGGGCCACACTGTGAGTGTGCCTTGCTGGATACCTCACCAATTACCCGAAAACCAGCTTCAGGGTCAGAGCAATCAGGTGCTGCACAAACCTGAGCTTCTTTTGTGGGCGGCGTGCGCGACTCAGCCACCCTGCTACGGAATCAGAGATGCGGCTGTGACCCGAGATCTGGCTGATTGGCATGGGGCTCCCTTGTGTGCAATGCTAGATACATACACATGCTCCCAAGTGTCCTTGACAGGTGATCCTCAACCATTTCATGGACACAGATAACTCTGGAAGGAAGATGTGTCACTTACAAAATCTGTTTTGGTTTTCAAACTCTGCATGTCATTTCCAAAGTAACACAAGGTACTTTATACGCCTATTAGGACCAGGCAAAATTATTCAACATCATCTCAGGAATGCAGAAAATAATTTTGAAACTGAGTTCTGGGGATAGGGTCTCAAGATGCCCTCTCTCTCCGCCTACTTAGCACGTCTCCACTGTGTTTATAAGAATTCCTGGGGTGATTCCAACGTACTGCCAGTCTGTTCTCGGTGCTTTCTGTGCCTGTAAACTGTATCAGGACAGCCCGGAGGCTCCTGTGGCTCTCTGGGTGCCCAAGAAGAGTCTACCAGAGACTCCATCCGGTGATGCTGGGCAGTGTGGGCCTGGGATGAAGACAGGTGGCCTTGGAGGGTAGCAATGTAGCAAGAGGCTGAGGGTGCTGGGAGAATGGGGATAGTGGGGAAGCCTTGGGGTTCAGGCTTGCTTTGAAAATCCCCAGTCAGTTTGGATGGAGTGGGCAGTGCCAGGGGGCTCCTGAGGGGTGATACTGTCTACGTGGAGGTTGTGCCTTGCAGGGGAGGCTGATATGAATGCTAAGTGGTCCCAAACCATGGAGCTTTCTGGAGAACCACAGCTGTGCCTTGATGGGAGAAGAGAAGGGTCCAGGCCATGGCCAAAAGAGGGGATTGGCCCCGGGAGCAGCTGACTCATCCTCATAAATTCACCACTTGCATTTTACTATACCCCAGTGCAGGGCCAGTTCCATAAAACCCCTCTCTCTGCCTACAGATCTTGCTGTTTCCAATTCCTCTAAGCAATCTGCAGTCACGTTCACTCAAGAACTCGTTGCTTCGTCATTTATCTTTGAATTATTTTTGAGGCAACCAGCCCCACAGCTCTCACCTACACACTCACAAGCTGAGTATGTGGGCTCACCAGGCCCCTTGTCCTTGAGTGCGCTTGCACACTGCTGCAGCGTAAAGCTCAGGTGGACGCAGAAGCAGACCAACGTAAACACACGCTGCGGTGTGCTTCAAAGATTCCTCACTATTTTACACATAATCCAGACAGGTTAAGAACAGAGTGCCCTATCCAA